AAGATCTCTGTCCTATTGCCGATAAAGATACCAGACCTGTTAAGACATGCACTATGAAGTTCAATACGACTAAACCTGATACTCTGAGGTAAGATATTAATAATAATAAACTTTATTTGACACAAAATCCTTCAGTAATGACTGATTTACAAAGATGCCGTGAAAGATAAAAGATGGTTGAAAWGTTTCTAATCTTCATAATATAAAACCTTGTTACCAATCTTTTCTTTTCATTTGGTTTCAAATGATCATAAACCCTAGTTGAATACACATACGTAAAGATAAGGGAGAAAAGGATGGAGTTTTATCTTTTTCTGCTCGTTTTAAGGGGTAAGGTCACGTGAGCTGTTAGTGGAGCGTCCCAAAGGCCTTTGCGTGGCGAAATACTTCTCAATTCATAACTGCTTTCTTTTGTTGCAGTGTCTCTTGTTTAGTGGAAAATATGTATGATTGCTCTTATTACAAAGAGACCATTTACATTAAAGGTACTGTATTAAACCTTCATGGGTTACCTGTGGTTTATGGAACACGTCTGTTGTGTTACTGCTACACAAATCCTGTAAAACTTTAGGACGTCATGTTTTGTTTCATTCTAGAAAAAGAAAAACCCTATCTAACACAACAGCCACCTCGCCATATCAATGCGACTGAAGGACAAGACATAAATATCACGTGCACATCACGTGTCATTCCTCGTCCCTTAATCACGTGGTACAAAAATAACGTCATTATCTCGAAGCAGAAGACCACGTTTTACAAAGGAACCTCAATGTTGATTCTGAAAACGATAGATTCCACTTCACAGGGAATGTACATCTGCAAAGCAACTAATCCCCTGGGTGAAGTTTCTTCCAATGGAAGCCTTCTCACTGGTGAGTTAAAATTTACCAAAAATATCGTGCTTTTGAATTTTTAGAATAGTATAATGCGCATGCGTAAAGATGATGTTATTGCCTATTTTTCTTTCATATTTCATATTTTCTTAGTGTTTTCTCGTCCAAGAATAAGCCTGGGTCCTGTCAATCAGACTGTTGCTATGGGAAACAGAGTGTCCATGGTGTGTAATGTCACAGGTCTTCCTATTCCTGTGATTGGCTGGCTAAAAGATGGAATAGTCCTTGGAAGCGGAAACGGAAGCGACGACAAAAATTTAACCGGAAGTAGAATGTCAGTGGCAAACGTTGTTAGTAAACCCGATATTATGACTTCCGGTGCATTAAGCATCACACCTCGTGCTGATTATACAAGAAATAGTACAGATAATGACGTAACAAGGAATACCAGTCCCAGTCTCTCGCCGACTACTATCTTTTCTAGACCCATTCCACCACTGACAAGTACTTTTACTGGAACCACTCCCCAACTGACAAACGCTATCACTCAAACAATGCATCCATCTACTAGCACTTTCACTAGATCCATTCCTCCATCTACAAGCAGTTTCACTAGATCCATTCCTCTATCCACAAGCGCCACTAGACCTATTCCCTCCAATCAGCGTCCATTTCCCGGCAAGATGACTCAAATAGGACGACAATCAGCATTGGTTATTGAATCAGTAACGAAAGATGATGAAGGCAAATACAAGTGTTATGCCAAGAATGCTATTGGTAACGCCACGTCACGTCACGCAACGTTACTTGTTTACATTCCTGGTAAGTTATATATGTAATATTTTTATTGACTTCGACTGATGCCGAGTTGATACATAAACAAGATACATGTCTTACAAGGACTTTAGTTGAAGGGAAACACGTCGTGGTGTTTATGTAAGTTACTGGCAATAGCCATCCGTCCATCATGAATATGAAATTTACCGAACGCGTATTTTTTGATATCTGAAAATCATTTTTTTTTTTTCTCTGCCAAAACAACAATTAGAAAAGCCAAGGTTTTTAGTGAGTCCAAGTAACGTTTCCGTGCTTGCTGGGTTGAACTCAACGATGACATGCGCAGCGGTAGGAAATCCACGCCCGAACATCACGTGGTATAAGAACAAGCTCCCTATCACCGTTGGAAGAAGAGTGTCTGTGGTGACCAATGGTAATATATCGGTTCTCATGGTAACGTACGCAAGACAAGAAGATAAAGGTGAATACACGTGCAAGGCAGAAAATTCTTTTGGTACAAAATACTCTGAGCAGGCCTTCCTTGATGTTACAGGTGAGCATTGATAACATACTAGTAGTACTTGTTTTAATATGTTCTTGATTTGGCAGCCATCTTGAAAAATAGCCCGGCCTCTTGTTACCCATGAAATCCACTCAAGGCCTGGTTACCCATAAAATACACTCAAGGCCTGGTTACCCATAAAATACACTCAAGGCCTGGT